TTGTAATAATGTATATGTTTCAAAGTCACATTTATGATAACCTTGAATGACGTCTAAATAATGTGCAACATTAGCATTTTTCAACATTTTTTTTTTATTTCTTTCAACCTTTTAACAAATAAAGTCTTAATATTAAGATTGGTACTTGGACCAAAGGTGTTTGAATCATTATTGCCTGCCACTAAAATGAGACGGTGGACTATAATGTTTTAACACATGTCTGCATGTGCCCAGGCTTGTCACGATAACATATTTTGCAGGGCGATTAATTGTCTCAGAAGTTATTGCGATAAACGATAATATTGTTTGAAATTTGACAATAATTAGTAATTGTCAAATTGAAGTAGAAATGTTGGTTAATTTCTGTGTGTAGTACCTTTTTGACCACTGGATGGCAGTATAAGACTGTTTGAACCAAAGGATGGATAGTAAGGGAGCCAGCAGTGTGTCTCTTTAAGAGAAATGGGAGGGAGGCCCCTTGACATGACATGGCTGTCTCTTGTTCCTGTTTTTCAGTTCTCAAAATGGAGGTATGGTTTGAGCTCTTTAGCATAGCATTTGCCATACAAAGCTTTTAATAATAATTTAAAAAATCAGTAAACAAGGCACAGGTTTCAACTGTGAATTTTGGAGCTTTGACAAGACGGAGGTTTTTTTCACGAGGTTGGCCTGTTAGCTTAACTCGTAGCTTAGCTTCTCAGCTTAGATGCTTTTAATGAGCAAAAAACGTGATTTGGGATCGTTAAAACAGATTTTAAAGAGAAAAGTGAAAGGGAGGGTCAGTGAAGAGCACCAGAGTTGAGCCTTTTGTCATCCAGTGTCTTCAGTAGAAAGAGAGAGACACAAAGAAACGATAAAGCTGATAAATGAAAATGAGGTCGATAATTTTCATTCATCATGTGATTAATTGATTTATTGTTTATTGTGACAGACCTACATGTGTCTGTAAAATATCCCATGAATCACTGGACCAATTTTAATGAAACTTGGAGAATGTAATCTGCAGATGCACATCTGAATAACATGGTGGCCCTGAAGTGTAGTTGTGTTTTTTGAATTTGTAGCTGTGGTTTAAACTTCAGGGCCACCGTATGAGATTGATCCCCAATACATAATCTGAAAATTAACAAATTGCAGTGAATTTAGTTTAAGATCATGCCAAGTATGCAGTGGTGCAGTTGGTACGGTAGTTGCCTCTCAGTGAGAAGGTCACCAGATCAAATCCCGGCCAGGGACATTTCTGGGTGAAGTTTGCATGTTCCCTCCGTACATGCATGGGTTTTCTCTTGATACCCAAAAAGGAAGAAGCAGGTAAAGATAATGGATGTATTCTGCCATTTAATACTTGGAGTCAACTCTTATACCAAAATATCTCTTGGTCCACTGGATCAAAATTAATGAAATGTTCAGGAAATATTCCTTAAATGTACCTCTACAAGAGCCTGTCCAAAAAAATGACTAAAATAGCTAATTGGCCTCAAACATAAAAACTGTTATAATACAATTAATTTTACAAATTTTAAAGTAAGGTTTGCTGTGGTATAACTGAGTCATTTACAACACATAAAAAATGGCTCCCGGGTGGCACGGTGGTGCAGTTGGTAAAGATGTTGCCTCTGTGAGGTTGCACGGTCAAATTCCAGCTTGGGACCTTTCTGGATTGAGTTTGCATGTTCTTTTCGTGCATGCATAGGTTTTCTCCCAGTACTCTGGTTTCCTCCCACAGACCAAAAACATGCATGTTAGACTGATTGGTAACACTAAATTGTCCCTAGGTGTGACAGTGAATGGTTGTTTCTGTCATTTGTCTCTATGTGGCCCTGTGATGAACTTGCAACCTGTCCAGGCCGTCCCCCACCTCTTGCACAGTGATAGCTGGACATGGGCACCAATGACCCCCACGACCCAAAAAGGCAACGGCGAGTAAAGATAATGGATGGATGGATGGAAAAAGGGTTCCTCGTGCAAAATCTTTGCTAAAACCGTTTTTATTTATTATTTAATCAAAACAGCTATAGTCAACTTTGTCTGTTAGCAAAATATCTCAAGAACTACCATATGGATTTTAATTACACTTTCATAAAATAATAATCATTGGAGATATATGTAGAGCTGATTAACTTTTGATGTCAGTCCAATTCAAAATGGCCACCACAACAAATCAACATTGAGAAAAGGCTATAACTGCATCAGTTTTACAGATACTGACTTACAATTTGATGTGGTAGTTATTGAGAGTCATTCACAACACATAATCTGAGCATATCTCGCAATATCACGTGAGATTGTGCATAATGTTGCTTTCAAGGTTTGTCCAAAGTGGCTCCAACTGTGTTTGTCAGCATGGGATTATCTTAACCTGAAACTCTTGCATGAAAATCAGTGGGCAGTATACAGTCATTCAAACAAAGCCCATTACTGTCATTAAAAGGTCGACTGTTTTGTTAATCTGACATCAATACTGTAACTCCTCACAAAATTTGAGATTTCTCTGTTTGAGCCAACTTGACTGAGTACTTTAAAGACTATTCTTACAGAAAATAATTTATAAAATTTATCATTTTAGATATTGTAGTCTAAATTAAAACGGATTTCTTATCAACACCATTGATCATTCTTTGGCTATTAAGGTGACGCCAGACAAGCAGCAGGCATCATGTGTGCAATATGTCAGTGTTGTTTCCATGGCAACCTATATCACTTTGTCCATCCTTCTACTGTGAGACAGCGTGATAGTGCTGATCTTTTCTCTGTCTGAACTCATTGTGCACGGAGACATACGAGTCTCCTATTGTCACCACTTGCACTCGTCTCTCAAGGGCATCCTTTAAACAACTGTCCTTTTTATGCCTCTTTATTCATCGCCCCCCTCTTCTTCACAACTGAACACCATCAATCTAGCCATTTACTTTAACTTTATTTCTCACTCCATTAATTTCTAGGACACAGAGCAGCACAAAGAGTGGGGAGGGAAAAGGGGGAAGATAGAGATAGTGTAAAAAAAAAAAAAAAAGGAAAGTTTGACTCCTTGGAGAGATAAAATGTAATTTCACAGTCAACTTGCTGTGATATATTATTTCACAACAATGGGTTATGCGTTGATTTGAGCCCCAGTTTGGCACCTGTACAGAACAGTTAGGACATCAGACAGCTCTCTTGAGAGAATGGGTATGTGGGAATGTCTGTGAGGGCAAAATTATTGAAAAATGACAATAAATAAATAAATGATGAATTGAAGTCCATTTAAATGGGTTAGGGAGAACACAGCACAAAATGAAAGTCATAAAGCATGCACAGTTGTGTATATAGACCCCCAAAATAATTGAGACATTGTGTGAAATGTAAATAGAAAAATAATGCAGCATTTTCCAAATCTTATAAACCCATAACCCATTCATAATGTACATAAACATATCAAATCCGGAAACAAACAAACAAAAAAAGTATAATTTTTAGGAAAAATATAATATATTTATTGTTTGATGGCAGTAACAAATCTCCAAAAACGTTGGGTTGGAGCAACAAGAAGTTGTAAAAGTAAGTGGTACAAATAGTACCAGCTGGAAGAACATTTTGAAACAAATTGTTAATTTGCAATGGATCAGAGGATTGGATATAAAAACAGCAATTTAAAGAGGCCTTGCAGCGAGAAGGTTGCTGGATCAAATTCCAGCCTGGAATGTTCCTGGGTGTGCTTTTCATGAAAACTTTATCGTTCTGCTATAACTTTTTAAACCTTTGCTAATATTTGCTTAAACTTCTTTGAATTACATAGTTATATTTACATGTTCTGAAATTTAGAAGGTGGATCAGTTGGTAGAGCTGCTGCCTCCAAGCAAAAAGGTCATCAGATTGAATCTGGACAGGGGGCCTTTCTGGGTGGAGTTTGCATGTTCTCTCCGTGCATGCGTAGGTTTTCTCTGGGTACTCTCGTTTCCTCCCACAGACCAAAAACATGCATGTTAGACTGATTGGTAACTCTAAATTGTCCCTAGGTGTGAATGAGAGAGTGAATGGTTGTTTCTGTCATTTGTCTCTATTTGGCCCTGTGATGGACTGGAGACCTGTCCAGGGTGTCCCCCGCCTCTTGCACAGTGACTGCTAGATATGGGTACCAGTGACCCCCGTGACTCAGGAAGGAAGAAGCAGGTAGAGATAATGCATGGATGGATGGATTTTAAAGAGGCTGATTTGATCAGAAGTAAAGATGGGCAGAGGTTCACCAATGTGCCTGTAAAAAAAATGGAACAATTTCAGAACAAGGTCGTCGTTCTGAAAATTGGGAAAACATTGAATATCCCATCGTATATAGTGCATAATATTGTAAAAATTAAAAAAAAGAATCTGAAACAAAATATATATACTGTATATATGGGAGCAAAGGACAAGGTTGGAAGCCTGTGAGATTCAGGTCCTCAGGTGGCACTTCATTTAAAAAGTCAGATTTTTTTATTTTCTTGCACATGTGAAAGGCACCATCAATGCACAAAAGTATAAACAACTTTAAGAATATGTGCTCCCATCCAGCAAAGAATCCTTTATTGAAGTCTCAGGTCTGTTGAACATTTAGACATACATCCAAGAAGAACGGGACAACATTCTCCTCCAGAAACTGGTCTCCTCATTTCCTAGATGTTGACAGACTGTTGCTATGTCAGGAGATGGTCCACAGTGAAAAACAGGACCATGTCCAAACTTTTTGATGTTTGTCGCTGACATTTTTTATTTTTTTCCAAAAATGCCACCGTTTCTTAACTTAATATATTCCACTGTGAATAAAATATGGGTTAATAAGATTTGCAAATAGTTTAATATTGTGTTTTTATTTACTTTTTATACAGTATCCCAACTTTTATGCAACTGGGGTTGTTCATTAAGAAATAAAATAAAATTCCAGGCTGGTTTTGTGTACCAAGTTTTACTGGGAATAGGCAGAGCAGCAGCAGGTGTATTTAGACCCAACCAAAGTAGGACAAAATTAATCAATTGCGCTCCCGTGCTTTGACGTGTTTACAGCGCAACAGCTCAGCCAAATGAAAGAATAAACATCATTTATTCCAGTAGACGGACACCCTTGTTGCTCCTGCCTCACCATTACACACTATTATTCACGAACATGCTTTGGCATTGATAGATGCCTTCTGCTTCATTAGCTGCAGTCTGCTCTGCGAATCACTTACACAATCTCAAACAGCTTTAGCTAGAGGTCTAATGAGGCAAACAGCAGACGGGGTGAGTTACATCACGTGAGAAACGACCTAATTTTAATACAAAAATAATGTCAAGAAATTCATTTGGTGGTGCTGCCATTTTTAGACATTTGGCAAAACATGACAAATATCAATGGCAGCTTTAATAAAATAATACATCAGTCTTTACACCATGAACGCCATCTGTGCTCTATCTTGTAAAACCAAACAATAATAGCATTAAAGTTATAACAACGTCCTTTTTTTTTTTATTTAAATTTACAGTTTGCTGTTCTTTTGAAATTGGGACACAAGTCCTAGCACTTGTTCGGACGCGGTGACGACTTTGTTTTGAAGATATAACGAGCTGTTTTTAGAAGTCTTGTTCAAAAAGTAACGATAGTTCACCATGATTCCACAGGAGTTCGCGACACCTCTTGGGCTGGTGTCAGCTCGCCAGTTGAGCCGCCATATGGTGGCACCGTTTTGCAGATGGAAGTTAGCCACTGGATTGAGTGCGTAGCCTCTTCGCTTCTCCCCGTAAAGGTACCAGGCGCAGAGACGCATCAAGACCGGCTCCAGAACAGTGGAGAGCCTCTCTGAGCGTGCCCACTCACTGGTAATAACGAGCTTGCGGAGGGAATCAGCAGCAGGGGTGCCTGGGGATGAGTCAGTGACCTGTTGCACCTCCCTCCACTCCTGCTCCGACAAAAGATCTGAGCCGCGGCCCTCCTTCCTGTACTGGCTCAGCAGGCTTTGGAGCCAGGAGGAGAAGCCTGGGATGGGCGACAAACTGGAGAACTGGGTCAAGTGAGGGAACTCGCTCTGAAAAATAGAGAAAGAAGTAACGGAGAAGAGTAAACACATCTGCTGAATGTAAGGAAAGTCCTTGAAATGAGTATTTTTTTTTTTAAACAACTGAAGGTGAGGAAATTATATATTTATAAGCAGAACTGATGCACGACTAAAATAAGATTATTAGAGATCATAAACTTGACTGAAGAACTTAGTCCAGAGCAGTAAGCAGGATTTAGGGCTTGTCAGTAAGCAGGATCAAATGCTTGTGCACATCAAGAAGAAGAAGAAAAAAACATGTTAAAATTGTTGTTAAAATTAAACAATGGGAACAAAAAGACAAATTAGCTACAAAAAAAAACAGCAGAACAGCAGCTAAAAGCTAAAGAAAATAGCAAAACAAAAACTACAAGCTAGAATTAGAAAAACAGTAGTGTGAAGGATCTACCCCTCACTAACAGGAGCTGCATGTACTTTTTATGATCTAAATTAACTTAATGCATACATGTATTTTTTGTTTGTATTTGGGGAAAAGGCTTAAACCTGGTGATCAAATTATTAGTTTAACTTTAAGATGTTGTTCTGATCATTCTCTTCTTCTTTGAGGTCACCGGGTCATGTGTTGCCATGGAAGCGCCGCCATGAGCAGCGCTGACAAGGAACTGGTGTTTTCAATCAGCCTCACTGGGAAAAGCCACACTGACTGAGAGGGAGGGGAGATGTTCTGTTGTTTAGCTTCAAACTGTTTAAATTAAGTTATTGTTTTAAAATGTTTGTTTTCTCTAGAGATTTAATTTAGTTAAGTGTGTTTTATTTTCATATAGAAAATGTAAATGTTGGCTCCACCCCTTTTAATTAGAAATGGTACAGTCTCATGTTTTAAAATCTGGGTAGTTTAAAACAGGTGGCACTCTGTTACTTGATGGTGGGTGAGGAAAGTGGAAACCTTGTATTTCTGCTGTGAAGCTGTAAGAACAATGTTTTTGAAAAAGTATATATATATATATATATACATATATATACACATATATATTTTTAAGCCCAGAAGGCTTTCACTCTGCCCTTAAGCCTTACAAGTAGATAAAAGCCGAAATGAGCAAATAGATAAAACTTAAAGCTAGCACAACAATAGCTAAAAGCCAAGGCAAGGAGAAAACATTAGCTGAAACTAAAATTATCAAAACCGCAGCATAAAAACTAAAACCGGCACAACAGTGAACTAAAAGTAGAAAACCAAAAAATGAAGCAAATATCCTGAAATTTCAAAGAGCACCGTCTCTCACAACTCTAAAGTGAATGCAATGCATTTCTGTGATAAAATAAAATTAGTTAAATAATAAAAAAACAAAACATCAAAGTAACAAATACCAAAGTCACAGTTTTAATTTCAAAAGGAACAAATTATAATGTCAAGAAAAATGTGTCAAATACAGAAATGTTTAGGAAAAAAACGTCTCTTAAAGATTCAGAACGTCTTTTTTTGTTTTCCCTAGTTTCGCTCAGAGTCCAGAATCATTTGAATTCATGCAAAGAGCTGCAGAATCTCCTTAACCTGCTTTAACAGCTGAGAAAAGAGCTGCAGCAGGAATGAAGAGGAGATAACAGGATGCATGTAGAAACAGATAAGAGGAACTAAACCTTTGATCCTTTTTTGGGATGTAAAGGGCAACAGTTTTGTAGCTGCGGAAATAAGAAGGAGAAATATTCGACCTCTGTGTCGAAGCACAATCAAAGTTTTCTTGTTTGTGCTTGGGTCCTGCTCGACCCTTCACTCCCTCAGACTTCATTAGGAATCAGCTCCCCGCTTCGCGATCCTGCTCTTCAGATGGAGATGAATGATCCTCTCTGTTCTACTTCACTCTCTTTCTCTCCTCCTCTTCCATCTCTTGCACTCTCACCTATAATATCTGTTCTTTTCTCTCAACTGCCACCCCCTTCTGCGTCTCGGTCCCATCAGGGCCACACAAACCAGTTATCCACTCACTTGTCTCATGAAATCTCTGCCCAGTCTCCTTTGGCAAAAAGTGTCACTCTCCTCCCGGGACCTATTTTTGTGCTTAGGTGTCCACTTTAAAAAGTGATGGAAAAATAAGTCAGGCTGAGAAGGAATGGATGTTGATGGAAGTGGGAAGTCTCAGAAAACTCATGGGAAGACATGTTTTCTATTCGTTTACCTTGATTCCAGCACAAATCAAACCACTTTCACTTTTGTGTCTCTCCTTTTAACTCCATCGTTTTAAGCAAGACGGTTCTAGATTAAGAATCGAAAATTTAACTGAAGAAAAAGTGATAGAAAGAAATAATGTAGGCAGCAAACCAGTGGGGGAAAAATAAAATGGAAAGAATCAGAGGAAAAGAACAAGCTACCTTTGGGGTCTAATCTACAAAGACAAGCAAGACATTCACTCTTCACCTTAAGTCATAGCTGTAACGTTTTCTCTCCTACTTCAGCATCCATCCATCATCTCTGCTATCCTTCTGTGGCCAAGCTGACCCTTTCATCACCTCTGTGCGAGGCAAAGCTCTGTTAGAGACCCTGGATCTCGACACATTACAAGTCTGGTTACTAGTGAATGCTGAACTCACAATGTCAGGGTCAGACATATGAATCCCACACGGTTCATAAAAAATACAAGCATTCATGCTTTAGACAGAAAAAGAAAGAAAACAGAAGTTTAAAACCCCACACTGAACCTTAGCAAATCTGAAGAAGTGCTGACAAAATGCTCACATTCAGGAGGACGAGGCACCAAAAGTTGTCCTGACGTACTGTAACTGCAAAAACTAGATTAGGATTCATTGGAATAATGTTTGATTAATTGATTGATTGACAATTCAAAACTCATATTTAACACTCTTCTGTGTTTTTATCGGTTTTAATTGAACATTTTATATAAATCACAAATGCGTGTTTGCGTGAAAAAGGAAATGTGCAGACCATCACCAAACCATACCATCACCATACAATTTTATTTATAGAGCACTTAAAACAGCTACAAGGCCAACCAAAGTGCTGTACAGACAGAACAACAGACAACACATGAAGCAATATATAAAATGAAGTCAATCAAATATAAACATAAAATCGATGCAGATAATAAATATGATGACAAACCAGTGTGGAGCATACAGGTTCAAAACACAGATCAGGTGTTGAAAGCTACTGAATAGTAGTGAGTTTTTAAACAGGATTTGAAAACCGAGAGGGAGGGGGCCAGTCTGACAAGCAGAGGTAACTCGTTCCAAAGTCTTGGTCCTGCTACAGAGAAGGCCCCGTCACCTCTGCGCTTAAGACGAGTTCCTGGAACTGTGAGGAGCAACTGGTCCACTGACCTCAGGGAACGTGGTGGGACATACGGTTGTAGCAGATCAGAGAGATGGGGGGGGGGGACTGTTCAGTGATTTGTAGACATACATGAGTATTTTGAACTGGATTCGAAAGTGAACCAGTAACCAGTGCAGTGAGGCCAAAACTGGTGTAATGTGCTCTCTTTTGCCTGTACTGGTTAAAAATCGGGCTGCTGCATTCTGAACCAGTTGTAGTCGTGCAATGGAGGTCTGACTGATACCAAACAGGAGTGAATTGCAGTAATCAAGCCTAGATGTAATGAATGCATGTATTACTGTCTCCAGGTTCTTTTAGGACAATATGGGCTTCAGTTCAGACAGCCGCCTCAGTTGGAAAAAACACGATTTAACAATCACTAAGACACCAAGGTGAGCTTTCCACAGCTAAAAACATTTCTTGTGACCTTTTCTGAGGTTTTCAACTGGAAGATGCAAACAACGCACAAAGCAGAAAAGAAAATGTATATTTTGAGAAATAGCTAATATTATTTTTAATGGTCTTTTTAAGTATATAACTTGTGCTGGCAAGTGCCGATGTTTTGAACCACTTTGGCCATGGCTGCCTCAGACAAGTCGACGGGGGAGAAGGCGGACTCCAGAAACCATCTTATCACCATCAAACTGGTTGGCCCACTATAGCTATGTTTACATGTGCAAAATTCTTTGATCGGATTGAAATGTATTTGAATAAAATAATCCAAATGTATCGTTCACATGGGCACAATCCGTTCACGACGAGTGTTTACATGCAGCGGGCTTTTATTCTGAATAGAAGTACTGACATGTGCAGAGTAGGGGTGCACCGATTGCAGTTTTCTGGCCCATCACTGATTTCTAAAAAGTCTGACCTGCCGATTCCAATTTTGGCTGATACCGATTTTGTTTTATAAGCGACACTGTCGGGTGTTATAAGGTCACAATGCACCTTCAATTTTCCAATATTATTTTACTGAAAAACATACCATTGAACAATATCCTAGAAACAATACAAACTTGTTTTAACTGGCCATGAGGTAGTGCTCTGAAATAAATGAAGTTCGGACAAGTTTTGTTAAAACTAAAAAAAATTGGTAAAATTGGTTTCTCATGCAAGTATCGGCCGATTTCCTATTTCCCCAAATTAAGAAAATCGGGGCCGATAAGTCTGCCGGCCGATCGACTGATCGGTGTACCCCGAGCGCAGAGTGGTAAACTTTCCTTAAAAAAAAAAACACAGAAAAAGAATTTCTACTTCCGTGATTAACATAGGCAAAGCTGAGCACCCAAAATGAACCTGCGCCAGGTTTTAATGACAATGGAGAAGTTACTGCACTTCCTGATTGAGCTACAGGCAATACATTTTGAGCTCTTTCTAAGTTTCTAGTAGAAATGTTGTGTCGCTCACCCGACATATTAGCATCTAGCAAGGCAGAAATACGTGATGTAGACAGGTCGCACATGCACAGTCAGGTTAGTTTTCCACAATAAGAATAAAACAGTCAGATTAAGTGTTTACATTCGCACCGTTCGGATTATGAATTGGCATAAACCACCCGTTTCATTTGGATTACAAATTCATTCGGATCGGGCTGAATCAACAAAGAATAATCCGAATGGGACGTTTACGTGACACATTTTTATTCTGAATGGCTGTTTAATCCGATTACTTGTGTCCATGTAAACATAGTTTATGTGAGTGTGCTACTTATGGGACTGAGTTTGTTGTGGCTCCTCGGACTGATGGAGTTCTTTGAATGAAGGAAGAAACTTTTCAACAACAAAAAAAGAAACCATCCAGATGACCTGACAGAATTTTTTTTACCTGGATTATTGAAGGTGAACTTTGATGTTCTGCTGGTAAGGTTTTATGTTAAAAATGCCATTGCTATTGTTGAAAAAGAATTAAGCCGGCCCCCTGAAATTTAGCAATATGTATATTTTGAGTAAAACTGATAAAGACAGTATCTGTTTGGGTGCTCGGCTGAGGTGAAAGAAAGCTCAACGATGTTTGTGTCTGTAGGCTGTTTATGTTCTAAAATAAACAAAATGTTCTGTCTTTACAAGATTACTGTGTGCTTCAAGAGATACTGATAAGCATGTTTCTCCTTCCTTCAAATCAGAGCCTTTAATGTCAGACTGATTACACTGCCTGACGGTGCAGCAGGAAGTCACCTACACTGACACTGGCAGCTGTTTCAGGCTCCTGAAAGGTCACTCAACAAGTTAACCTGTTAAAAGTCTCCACCACAACAAGAAGATGACTCCACACAGAATATGGTGTAGATTGTTTCTGTAAATCATCGCAGGATAAAATAAATGCATTGCAAGAAGTATTTTTTACCAGTAACCGTACTTGCCACCATACACGTCACACGCGGTATAAGTCACATCAGTCCAAATATGTCTAATAAAGTGGAAAAAAACATAAATAAGTCGCTTCGCCGTACTAGTCACATCTATTATGCATCATTGCTGATGAATCGCGTTTATTATGAGTCACCGCTGAGCCACCCGGAAACATGGGCCGGTGTGCCAAAAATCGATTGGCTGCCAAATGGCGGCTGCGGGAGCGTGCATGGGAGGACTTTAACAAGATTAACACTTAAAAACAATTATTTGTTTGCTCGACATTATAGTAAAGGTGTGTCTCAGTTGAATTTTTCCTTAATAAATGCACTGTAATGGTCAAATCAGCTGCATTTCGCCTGGGTAGTGTGGCAAAATGCAGCTGATTTGATGTTTGCTCCAGGAGTTCCGGAGCGAGACGAAGGTGGCTTGTATGGCAAGCCAAATGTCTCATTAATAGCCACTTTTACCTACCAGTATTAATGAGACACTTGGCTTGCCATATTCGTCGAGGGCCCTCTAGCGGCTGAAAATGGTAGTGGTCAATATTTTCCATGTCAGAATGAACAAAATCATCAGATCTCAGCCAAAAATTGGGTTATAAATATGAGGAGACAAACTTATATTATTCGCTTCAGTGTATAAGTCACAGAACTTGAAAATTTATGCAAAAAGGTGTGCCTTATACAGCAAAAAATACAGTACTTAAAAAAAAAAAAAAACTTTCAATACTATTTAAAATTTTTGGGCACAACAGATTTGTAATTACTGCTCTGCTCTTTTGTAGGTTAGCAGTAAGAAGCTAAACCAAAGCAAATGTATAGACTGTGTGTTCTGATAAAAAGATGGAACTAAAACATCAATTTACACATTTTATAGACCATCTAATGAGGATTTTTCTACTTCAGCACACTCAGTTCTTAAACAGAAAACCTTAACACTAAAAGAAAAAAAACACACACTACTGTGTCTGCTGAGCTATGTTCTCATTATTAAAAACTGCCTGTACGTAATTCCATGTGCAACAATCCAAACAGTCCTATAAAATGAGTAAATACAGTTGAAGGAGCTTAAACCAGATTTGGATGAAGATATATATATTTTTTTTTTTTAACCATCTGTGGGTGTGGTGAATTTTTCTACTCTATATCGTCTTAAGACAGAAACAGGTGAAATAAAAATAAATGTCTTCATTACAATGTTAATTGAATTTGTTTATTATAATAAACAGACACACGTCACACAGGATGCTTTCATGCAGCCTGCAGGAGGGGTGTGTATGACAAAAAGTCCAATCCAGCTTTGTAGCTCTCCTTCATGTGATAAGAAAGACATAAAAAATGGGTCAGAAAGACATTGTGCTCTGTGTTTTCCGATAACTGAGCTGATCGTCATATGTACTCCTGTTCCATTTAGATTAAACAAAAACCTAGTTAGACAAGACCTATCAATTATGAGATGTATTCTATTTTGATACACAGGCTTCATGATTCATCATTATTTCACAACACCCTGAGACACAGTATTTTCCCACTGAGAAAACAGACACATAATATGGATTTATATTTAAGGTAAAGCATCATATTTAAGGTAAAATACAAAGTTCTCTGTGACTGTGGGTTAAAGTGGCTTTTTAATGCTTTCTTTAGGATTTCAATCATTTAACAAAGAGCAGGAGTGACCATATATGAAGGGCCCTTATGTGCTTATTAAGAGCGATGAATTAGACGCCATTAATGCCTGTTTGATGAGTGCCGTCATGTCTACATGTACCATATATGGATTTAAGTGTCATAAGATGTTAGTACTGTTATTAAGTCAGATTAGTACACTATGTTATGGCTTTAATAGTACAAAATGCAGCACTGAAAGTAATACAAAATTATATTTATGACTCCACACTGAGTCTAAAATATAACTTCTAACATGAAGTCTTCTTTTGCAGTTGCACTTTCACTGCTCTTTTATTTTTTTTGCCACCTGGGAGACAGCTGAATACCCAAATGACTTTTTGATACTCATCACACAGCCAAAGAGCTCTTTAAGAGTCAGCATCCATACCTTATGTTTGCTGTTATAAGCTGTGTAGCTGCAGTGGGAGAGCATGGTTTCCAAGCGTCACAGATAAATTATTATATTTAGATAAGGGAAGAAAAAAAAACAACTAATAAATATACAAATAACTTGCTTTACCTCAGATTTACCCAAGCCAAAACTTTACGGAGATCTCAAACAAAACTGAATGCATAATTTAGATTGGTTTGGGCTTTGAATTTGCAAAATCCTATTAATGCAAATGTATGTAATTGAATCATTTTTGCACAGTAAAAGTGAGCCAAGAACCTAGATGTGCTACCTCCTGGGTTCTTATAGTAAATATTAGTTAATGGGGGAAAACAGACTTCCGGAACGCAACTTGTAACTGCGATGAGTTTAGTTCTGATTTATTTTCTTGCCAAATCCATTATTAATTCCATTTATGCAATTCCTAAAGCAAATTGTTGTTGACAAAGCTGTCACTCAAACCATGCACTGCCCAATTTTACCCACCTGGAGTTCTCGCACCACCCTCTTGATGAGGTAGTTGCCCAGCTCCACTCCTTGCAGGCCAGCCTGGGTGGAGGAGATGGAGTAGAAGATGGCTGAATTGATCTTGTTCACATCCTCTTCTGAGTCAAGAGTGGCAAACTCACGAACAATACTCTAAAGGGAAAAAAAAAAAACAAAGAAACATCCTTGCTGAGTCATCAAATCAAACTGTGCATTTAAATCGCTTTTATACGTATTCCATGCTTCAGAGCTGAGGTGAAGACAGAATTTTTTCTTAACTGCAGCAGGGTCAGAATTGTAGGAATCAGTGCACAATTTCACACTAAAAGCATTCTCAAATATCACTGTTATCAAACCATCTTTTCTAAGCACGAACCATCAAGCACTGTACAGGTGGCTCTCTGGAGATGGGCAGTTTAAAAGTAAGCTCCTTTTTTTTTTTTCCACACTGAAATAGTCCATTTTCTGACTGACCTCTAAGACACCATGGAGTGGGGAAAAAAGCACATTATTCGAACCTGTATGTTATCAGAGATGTCCTCAGTTAGAGCCACGTGCAGCACAACCAAAGGCTCTCCTGGCATGGCAGCGTGGGTGAAAGCATAGCAGCGTCTGTACGATCCCACTCGACGCTTCAGATCAGTCCAGTTCCTTATAGGGTGCACCGCTTCATACCTGTCAGAAGGCTCATAGTCAGTCTTTTATTATTATTATTATTATTATTATTATTATTATTATTATTATTATT